CAATCATCAAATCAAAACAATCGAATGAGAAGGGGTGTCTATTCACAATTATCAGGAGCCCAATTGTACTAAGTAAGATTAATACTTTCAATGGGCTAGCAATGCAAGAAAGAATACCCACTTGTTTAAATCTGCTTAAACGTGGAATTGTGAATGATTTAAGTATGAAAAAATGTGCACTTTGTGGGGAAGTAGCGGAGGACACACATCATTTATTCCTACATTGCAGTCACGCACATAAGATTTGGACTAGGTGCTAAAAATGGTGGGGGATGGAAGGCCTACTTCCAGAATGTTGTATACAAGCTTATGAGCAGCAGCTTCATCTATTCAATAACAGGGAGTTGGCATTGGGTTGGAGTGTAGTCTGGAAAGCAAGCATATGGACATTATGGCTAGCCAGGAATGACATGATTTTTAATGAGAAGGCAATGGATATTGGGAAAACATTCGAGCTAGTCCAATTATGAACGTTTCATTGGATCAAAGGAAGAGCTAAAGATTGCAAATTTTCTTTTAGGGATTGGGTACAGGAACCGGAGGAATGTATGACATAAATTGGGATGTAATTTTGTAACAAACGTGTTTTGGAGTATTCCTTGTATTCAAAATAAATAAATAAATAAATAAGTTTTTTTCAATTGAAAAAAAAGGGGGTCACAATTTCTCATACATGGCTAGGCGCATTGTTTGAAAAGTTGCCATTTAAATATACTGTCATTACAAAAATTACAATTGAGAAATATAATCCCACTATTTACTCTTCTATTATATATTTTCTTAATTAAATGATTGACTCTTTTTATTTATTTAGAACTTGTAATATTAAGTACATCAACTCATTTAATTACATGAGAAAGTTGTATAAAAAATTATATAAAAAAATTACCTTTATATTACTGCTTGAAATCAGCATAGATAATTTATCCAACACAATCTGTCTTTACGTCGATATTGGATACAAGGAATACCCGAACCAGTTACAAAAAGGAAATATAATCCCAATACTTCCTCTTCTATTAGATATTACTTTAACTGTTGATTCTTTCCTAAAATCTCACTAGTTGTAAAAACCTGAAAGTTTTCTTCAAAATGAGAAGTGGAGATGGCAAGAACTAAATTAAACACCACAAAAGTCTTCTGAACAACATTGCTTACTAGTATAAAAAATGGGTCTAAATATAGCATGTTCTACAATAAGTTGTCAATACACTGGTAACAGATTATATTGAGGACTTCTGTACTCCATACTCAATACCATTCCCTGATATTCTTCTCAGCCATGCTCACAAGAAGGTCATTTGGGAATCATGGTACTTTCACTCCAAGTCTGCAACAAATGTGAACAAAAAAAATAAAGGGGGTTACTGCAAAGGTAACAAACTCCATTATTTCTTTGTTTATTGAAAAAATAATGATTTGTGCAAAAGTCAGAGAATAAAGTACGTACATGATCAAGAGAGATATGGATACCTATTTTGGTAAATCAATAATTCGATATTAGGTAATGATAGGCTTGATAAACACTGTTTTTGTTTGTAATAAATGAATCTTCTCAAGAACCACTATAATTTGGTAGAAACAAGCACTTAGCTTGTCTTTCATTAGAATATAACTTCGATCCATAGTCATCACTAGAAACTCAATATTGGAACAACAAACTCATCTCCAATAGCTACTTTTAATTGTATGAAAAGGATAAAGAATAGGGTAAATGGTTCTTGAGAAGAAAAGTTTGAAATTGGGACATATATATAGTAGGAAGATGCTAATTAATCATTATTACGTAAAAGAAAAGTGAATCACAATGGATTTCATCTTTTAACTAGGAGCATAATTAAGCGTAGTCATCCCTGTAGTTTGAGTGTCCTTTATACTCTATATCATATATTTTCTTGATTGAGAAAAAAAAAATGACAACTAATATTAAGGGTAAAAACACTATATGTATGCATTGATAATTCAATTGCAAGTCATGATAAGACAACATTTATTATTAATTGAAGTTTCATTTGATAGGAAGTTATTTATTAATCGTTTAGATAAAAAAATTTATTGACACAATTTTATCTTATAGTAAAATTTCATAATTGTATTTATCAAATAAAATATTGTAATTCTACGTTACAATAATTATGATGACACTTTTCACTTAATGAAATGTGTGCATTGATATTTTTTTAATTGATAGTTGTGTGATTTGATATACATTCACTCACTTGAAGATATATGGATATTGTGAAATTTTAGTGTAAGCTAAGATTGTAGTTATATATATCAACTTAGTTTAGCACATGATTTATTTTCACAATTGTAAAAATTATTAATAAAGTACTTGATGATGTATAACGTATCTATTGTTGTTTTCATAAAAAAAATATTCCTATAGTTTAACATATATGGGTCAAAATCACAAGTTAGTGTCATGGGTAGTTAATGTGAATGGAATGGATGTAAAGAGTATGATAAAACATTGCAAAATAGTGTAGGTAATCACTCCTTTGTAATTAATGCCTTAATTATAGAAGATTACGTAAAATCTTAATGGATTCTTTGTAATCTAGACATAATTCTCACCTATAGCATACTATGAAATGTGTTAGGCTAAATGCCTAGTCCTTGAACTTTCAATTTTGAACAATGTCTTTGAACTATTTTTTTTTTTTACTTTTTTGTCTCTTAACTATGAAAAATACATTTTTTTTTTCTTTTGTGAATTTTGTCCATTAAGTCTGTATAGCTAGCATTTTTGGTCTTTAGACATTTGTTTTATGTACATTTAGGTCATTGGAAGAAATTAAAAAAATTTTGGTTCAACAAATTTAATAGAAAAAATTGCTGGAAGAATGAAAAAGTACATTTTTTTATAGTTGAGGATGATAAAAGTGTAAAAAAAATAGTTTAGGGATTAAAATTGTTTAGGAATAATAAATAGAGTCACAGACGGGGACAACATTTTTTTCGTTGAAAATCTTAGTTTTCTTTGGCAATAATTGGCTGATTTTGGGAAGTAAAACAAGGACACTATTGACGAAAAAGTAGGGATTTTTATTAGGTTAGATATTACTTCCTTGTATGGGGTTTTTGCCATTTATTTTCTATTGTAGTCTGTGATAATAATAGTGAAAGTAATTTGGGGTTTGGAATAACTTGGATTGCTTATTTGTTATTATAGAACTATAGAATAATAGTGTGTATGAGTTTCTACATAAATTGTATGTCCCTTACATTACCCTTATTGCCATTTTATAAGATAAATTTTCGATAAAAAGAAGTTACCATATATTTTCTTATAATTAATTGAATACTTCCTGTTTGGGCAGCTTCACAATCCAACACTGTTGAAGTCTTCAGCTGCTTCTACACCTGAAAATCCCGAGGTTGTTTCCTCGGGGAAAACACTCC